CCTCCCTCCCTTCCTCTTCTCTTTCCCTCCCTTCCTCTTCTCCCTCCCTCCCTCCCTCCCTCTTCTCCCTCCCTCCCTCCCTTCCTTCCTTCCCATCACTCACTGCTTATAAAGAATGAAATCTTTTTATCTTTCTAAGAAGATTCCTGGCTCCATGTAATCTCAGAGCCAGTGGCTTCTCAGTGCCCTAAAGAACATTGTGTTCATATTTGAGAAACTCTTCTTTTTTTCCTCAAGACGGCCAGTTCTAAATCAAAATTATTACGCAGGGACGAATCTTAGATTGTAGTGTGTTCCATTGGTTAATGCTAGAAGACGAAGCGGTGGTGAACCCTGTCCTCTCTTTGAAAGAAAGAAAGTTGACGAACTTTAAAAAAAAAAAAATCAAGACCAGGGTAAAGTACGCTAGTTAAGATACATGTAACTGCATGAAATAGTCTTCAGCAAGGAAATGATTCTGCTGCCTATTATGTTTATCCAGGGGAGTGGAAATCTGATTTTTACAGTAATGCAATTGTCTTTTACCATAAGCATCAATTTGATAACTTTAATGACCATCAATTTTTTCATCTATTTGAGCTAATCCGCTTAGGGAATAGAGCCCCATATTATACGTACGAAAACTGCCTCTGGTAACCCTCCCGCCCAGGAGTTTGTTCCCAACACCTGAATATTTTCTGGAAAACAGGAAAGCTTGTTTATGAACTCTGCGCATTATTTCCCCGTGGAAAAATTTTAAAAACGCAACAACGGCAACATTTCCTTGTTGAGTTATTGTGCAGCTCGGAGACCAGCAACACTTTGGGGGTACATTTGGAACTGAGAAAGTGTCAGAGGCACCCCTTCAGACTAGGTTCATAATGCACTTGACGCAGCTGCCATAACCACCCATCCGTCCTTTTTTTTTAAAACTGATTCTTGCCGTCATAAATATTCAAGCCATAAAAATAAGCTGGCTTTTTGAAGGATGGTGGAAGGCAAATAGTTCTGGGCCAGTGGTGGGATTCAAATAGGTGAAGAACCGGTTCTCTTGTGTGGATGCCACTTCCGGAAGTCCATTCTGGGCCTGGGCAACAAAAAAATTAGCTACCGGTTCTGCCGAAGTGGTGTGAACCGGCTGAATCCCATCACTGGTTCTGGGGGAAATTGAAATCTATATAAATAAAAATGTAAATGTTCGTTTGTTCAGAATCTTAAATCTCCGAAAGTTCTTCACCGATCGCTTTGAAATTTTGACACAACGTTGCATTCGAATACGCGCGTGTTTTGATATACCTATATTATATAGATGTCACACCTGTGACAGGTAAAAACATGCTTTTTTTGAAAAATAGCGCCATCTGTTGGACGTAAAAGCAACACACGCTTTTACCAGACTGATCCACAGCAACGCATGGCCGGGTACAGCTAGTATATCCAATATTCATTGTTAGACCAAACGTTGCTAATTTAAGATGGCACAGTGTAGACTTTGTTTGATTTGCAGCTTAATTGCCTTTGATGCATTTCAGCAGGATTTAGTCAGAGACTCCATTGATCACCCAACTGAAATAAATATCACTTTAAAACTTTAAAAGACTGAGGTCCATCCCAGTAGGTTTGGTGCAAGCACTCGGCACTCTGGAATGTTGGATAAAAGTCTTCCTGTTAGAAATTAATAGAACATATTGGGGTAAAATACAAGCAATGTATGTAAAGACCTTGGCTTAACTACTCAAGTGAAAATCTTCCTTCCTTCCTTCCTTCCTTCCTTCCTTCCTTCCTTCCTTCCTTCCTCCCTCCCTCCCTCCCTTTTTCCTTCCTTTCTTCTTTCCCTCCCTCCTTCCTTCCTCCCTCCATTCCTTCCCCTTTCCTTCCTTTCTTCTTTCCCTCCCTCCCTCCTTCCTTTATTCCTTCCTCCCTCTTTCCTTACTTTATTCTTTCCATCCTTCCTTCTCTCCTCCCTTCCTCCCTCTTTCCTTCCTTCTTTCCCTCTCCCTCCCTCCTTCTTTCCTTCCATTCTTTTTTCCCTCCTTCCTCCCTCCCTCCTTCTTTCCTTCCTTTCTTTCCCTCCCTCCATTCTTCTTTCCCTCCTTTCCTTCCTTGCTTCCTTCCTTCCTCCCTCCCTCCCTCCTTTCCTTCCTTCTTTCCCTCCCTCCCTCCCTCCCTCCCTCCTTCTTTCCT